TCTTGAAGGATGAATATCTTCCCGCGATTACCGAGTTAATCGCTTACCCGCAAAAATTTTCACAAGATCGTAGACGGTATCCGAGAAAGCGAGAACGCTGAATTTGAATGGGCAAGGTTGAGCGTGGGAAGGAGGTCATTCCCCCGAAACTTCAGCCTCCTAGACTCCGTGGTTCCCGAGATATTAACTTACCCGTAAAAAACTTTCACGGGGCCGTACGCGCTACCCGCAGGTACGGGGGGAGCTGAATTTAAATTTGCGGGGTCACACGTGGGTGGGGAACGTTCCCCTAAATTTTCAGCTAAGCTGAATTTAAATTTGCGGGGTCACACGTGGGTGGGGAACGTTCCCCTAAATTTCCCGCAGGTACGGGGAAGCTGAATTTAAATTTGCGGGGTCACACGTGGGTGGGGAACGTTACCCTAAATTTTTACGGGGGAGCTGAATTTAAATTTGCGGGGTCACACGTGGGTGGGTAACGTTCCCCTAAATTTTCAGCCTTGTGGTTCCCGAGTTGAAAGTTGCGGACAAGTTGCTGCGGGCACACACACACACACACACACAAACAGTGGTTTCCGAGTTGAAAGTTGCGGACAAGTTGCTGCGGACACACACACACAGACAACCCCGTAACAATCTCCCGAGTTGAAAGTTGCGGTGGGGAACGTTACCCTAAATTTTCAGCTTCCTAGCTTTTGTGGTTCCCGAGTTGAAAGTTGCGGACAGTCACACGTGGGTGGGGAACATTACCCTAAATTTTCAGCTTCCTAGCTTTTGTGGTTCTCGAGTTGAAAGTTGCGGACACGCGGACACACACACACACAAACACACACAGACAACCCCGTGACAATATGCGTTGTGTACTGCTGTTACACAACACAAAACGCATAAAAAGTCATTAAAGAAACTGTGATCACTGATTTATCAACCACACGTTATCAGTTATATTCTTTTTCGGCTACGCTTTACAGATCCACAACTAACCTGGTGGGATTACTGTCGATGAATTCACGAACTGTATCCGTTGCTTTGCCGATTTTGATGATTTCTTCCATTTCCTTATCCGAGATTTGCGGTGTTGGTAAAATCAGCTTCGAACGTTTTTTCTCCGCTTTTTGCTCAAAAATTGACTCTGGATTACCTTCGGCTCTGGAAAAAAAAAATGCGGTTTGTGAAAAATCCAGCAACAGTCACTGGGATTTCTCATATGGCAGGACTTTCGTGTAAAAAAAAGCACAAATTTAAATGTCAAAATCACTTCTTCATTTTATTCCTTATGAGATAAAAACATCAGGATGTTATTTAGCGGTGAAGTGAAAGGTTTTTTATCTAAAAACAGTCACCCCTTAATTATTAGACTGCCCATGTTCCTTTTTTCCCATGAGTTGCTTTGCAAAATATACTGAATGTAATTCTAAATTCTAATTTTTCACTATAAGTAAGCACTAACAATCCGAAGCAATCAATTGAAACATAGGTCGAAAATCTACATTTCTTTAAAATCTATGTTTCCCACTGATAAAATCGCAAATCGCTTCTTACTTTCGAGTTTGAATCCCTGGGCTAGTAGAAATTTTACCACACTCCTCACCAATTTCCCTATTATCTCTTTTTTACTTCAAGAAGAGGATTTTATTGAACTTTATCGATGTTCAACAAAATTCCCACCTTCGTTTTTTCAGCTTTTCCCGATCCTTTTTACGCTCCTCGTTTTCAATATCGTCACGTCGAGTGCCTTCAATCTCACCACGAGTCTGCTTTTTAAATGTTGTGTCTTTTTCAAATTTGTCTTCCGATGGGTCGTAGAAGCCCGGTGGCACGGTTTGCTCGAACGGAATCTGAAAAAAAGCGAAAATGCAAGTTGATTTATGTTAGGAGCAAATGATCTTGCTCTCCACTTTCGAGGACGTTCCAGCGCACAACCCGGATCTGGAGCGTAGATCGACTGGAGAAGTTTAGGGCATTGTGTTGGCGATCGAAAGGACTGTGCGGCCGACACAAGAAGGATCGACATCTCCCCCAGCAGCAGCTCCGACAGCGTCTCGAGGAACGTGGAGTCTGAAGGCCTTACGGACCGTGTTGACCGTGGAACCCCGGTCAGCACCAGCCGAAGAATCATAGACTTGGAGCCCCGTAACTACCAGTGTTGATATTTTCTGTTGGACTAATAAAAATCGAACTCGACGTGTGTCGCAACGGACAAAACAATACAGATGCCAAGAAGCACAGTGAATATATACGCCAACAAATCAAAGGAAAACCTCAGCGTTGTAATCGATATGGGTTGGATGTCTGCGCTGGAATTTGTGCTGTCCCCACTGAATGCCAGCAGCACGCAGTTCACGTCGTTTTTGTAACGAGGCAAGCCGGCGTGCTTCCGAAAGCTGCTTTTCGCGGGCCTTTCGTTTCGCCTTAAAATCAATAAAATTTGGCGGATTTCCAATTACCAACAAGATTAAAGGTCAGATGAAGGGTAGGATTTGAAAAACAAACCTTTTTGCCTTGTGTATTAGCTAGCCTTGCACGTGCTTCTGAAAGCATTTCGAGCTCATCTTCGTCCATGTCGATGGGATCTGGTCGAGCTGGCTTTGTTTCCGGAGTGGGATCTATTTCACCGGGTCGCAGTTTTCGGGCATCGTTCAGATCTTCAGTCTCCTCAATCTGCTCCGCTTTCTTTTGAGCCTAAAAAATATGCAAAAATTCACCACAAAAATCACCAAAATAAGGTAATTAATAAAAAAAAATGAAAAAAGAGGCCCAACTCAGCTCATCTGTGACTTTACAGATTTGATCTCTGAGCCTTTGCAAACTGATGAGCCGCCTGCTTGCACTAACTGTTAATTTTTAATCCAAATAAATCTCTGCTCAGTAATTATGGAAAAAAAAAAAACAAACAAAGTCTCCTGCTACCGGTAACTTGGTTGCCCTGCATGATCTTCCCGCAAGCCTCCCCCTAGCAATCACTGGATATACCAAAATTCGCGCCTGAGTTTACTCTCACTATAGTAAAAGTTGGCAAAATCTCAACTTCTTATGCTAATCCTTATTCGCAATAATCTTTAGCAGTGGCAACAACGACAAACATGATTATGATGACTGTGATATGTCCACGACTATAATTATAATCGTCGTAATATTACCATGATTATGATTGATAGAGTTGGCACGACTACGAATGTGATTATGAAAGCCATAATATTATTATGATTATGATTAAGATAGTTGGTACGGCTACGACTGTGATTATGAAAGCCATAATATTACCATGATTATGATTAAGATAGTTGGTATGGCTACGACTGTGATCACGAAAACCATAATACTACCATGATTATGATTAAGATGGTACGGCTGCGATTGTGATTACGAAAGCCATAATATTACTACGATTATGATTATGATAGATGGTACGGCTACGACTGTGATTATGATAGCCATAATATTACTTAGATTATGACTAAGATAGTTGGTGCGGCTACGACTGTGATTATTAAAGCCATAATAATACCATAATTAGGGCAGTAATCATAGAACAAGTAATAATAAAGACTAAGAAGTTATTGTGACCAGAATGGCTAGTACCCGGACGACATATATGACTAAAACAATTATGAAAATAGCAAAAATGCCAAAAAAAACCTCGTCCAGCAGATGCTCGTAGCGCTCCAAGCACTGAGCTGCTGTTCGTCCAACAATTGGTGCAATGGTACGCCACTGAGTGGGCATCAGTTTGGCAAGATGAAGCAATTTTTCATCCTCCGTACGCGACCACTCAGTCTTTTTGATCCCAGGATCCAGCCACTCGTACCATCGAGCCTTGAAAATAAGCAAAATAAACAAATAAACGAAATTTGAAAATAAACAAATTGGGCAGAAATGTTCCCAAATTTCCAACATCCTAGCTAATCTGATCGTCCAAAGGCAATCACTTGGCAGGGTCAGAGGGAAATTTGTGATTTTCGTATTAAGTCGGCTCGGATTCCAGGCGGATTTGAGCTCGAACTTCAATTTGAAAGGCGAGGCTGTTCAGTTGGGGGGAAGGGACCAAGAACACAAGCTTAAGTCACAGGAATATTGACTGAAAATATAGAGCGAAATATTGTTTGGGATCGGAATTGAAGACAGGGGGGAGGATTACGGGGAGGGGAAGGAGGAGCAGACGGGTTCGTGATGCTAAGCAAAAAATTAAAATGCAGAAATCTAAGAAACTTGAAATTGGAATCCAAAAACTCATCGAAACAAAAAGTACTTATGTACGATTATGATTTTCGCAACTTACATGCAAATCCGCAAACAGCCGAGCCGAGTCGATTTTTGATAACCGCGTTGAAAACGGGCACAAAAAAAAAAGGCACACACATACATACACACATACATACACACACAGATGCACACATATGCACATACATAGAAATACATACATAAATACACATACACACACACACACACATACACACGCACATACACTAGCAAATCCATGGAAGGCCTCGTAAAAGCATTTTTTTAAGGTTTCTAAAGTTAAATGCTTAGCGTGTTCGATGTGTCACAAAAGTTCCCATAGGGGAAACTTACCCGAATGTCAAGTAGTCCAGCATTCCAGTGAATCCATCGCATATTTCATTTTTTTGGAAAAATTTATGGGGCCCTAAAGGTAAGCAACTTACTTTGCATTGTTTTGCTGATTTTCGATGAAGCAGAGAAGCAATGCGACTCCATTGGTTCTTGCCATATTTCATGATCGCTGCTTTGAGGATTTCATCCTGGAAAACGAACAAAACCATAATTATAATCAACGGGAAGAGGCAGACCTCCGATGCATTTTTTGCGCAAAAACAAGCATTTTTCGAAGTATTTTCAATGAAAACCAACTTACCTCAGTGTTACGCCATACACCACCTTTGATAATAACACGCACCATCCTGACACAGTGATACGCAAACTGAAAAAAAGAAATAAATACAAAAAATCGTAATAACAAATCATCAAGATCGCTCGAACAACCGATCGATAACATTGGCGATCAAGACATATTCACTGAAGGATTCAGGGCGGAGGAA